AAAAAAAAAACTATCTCACTAAATATAACTAAAAATGCTGTTTCAAGAAAGATCTAATTATTTTTCATGTATCAACGAGCCTTCAAATTAGTAACCATCGCTCAGAGCTGAAAATTAAATTAAAGCAGAAACTCAGAGAGGTGAAGGAAGCATTAATCTAGCTTTGATCTTGAGAATGTTTGCCAAACCAAGTGAACTTGAGCTTCAGATATCCTGGCCTCATGGGCATGGGGGATAGGATACAAAGCTCTGAGCCTACCCAGAGGGGAAGAGTCTGACAGAAGATCACTCTTTTTTTATTTTAAGTTTTTATTTATGAATTTGAAAGAGACAGAGACAGCATGAGTGGGGAGGGGAAGACGGAGAATCCCAAGCAGATTCTGCACTGCCAACAAAAAGCCTGATGTGGGGCTTGAACTCACGAACCATGAGATCAGGACCTGAGCCGAAATCGAGAGTTGGACCCTTCACCGACTGTACCACCCAGGTGCCCCTGACAGAAGATCACTCTTATGCCTGTATACGTGCATAATGCTGGAACTCAGTAGGCTAACCTTCAAAATAAAAGTGAATTGAATACTTCTTCCTACAATGACACTAAAAGAATGCGCTTATATTAAAATTTGCTAATGAATGGGGGGGAGGATGAATCTCCCTTGAGAATATATGTAGTAACAGGTTATTTCTCATGTAGATTGCAGCTGCAATTCGCACACTTGGGGTGATCCACTAAAACCTAAGGAGACTTAGTTAAAGCGGTCCTGGGCTAAACATGCCCCATGTACTTGAGAGAATGCAAAATCTCCTTTGAACAAACTTGAGTTTCAACCCTTAGATCAAAGAATTCTCTTAGATCAAGTTCTTAAAAATAAGAATCATGGTCAAAAGGAGTACAACAGCAAACATGGTGAGTACAAAGCAGCAAAAACAATACAGCACAGAATCAGACCCAGAATGATGCAGATATTGAATTACTAGAAACACCACCGGTTTTCTAAATCAGCTCAATATGTTTAAAGATACAAAAGAAGGTGATAAAATATGAATAAAGAACAACACACTCGGCAAACACACAAGCAGATTTTTTAAAAAATTAAAGCATTTCTAAGTGTCAGAAGTCGAAGTGAAAATTTACAACTCAATGAATGGGCCTAACAGCAGATGAGAAATAACTGAGAAGAAAAATATGAACCAGAATATAGATGTGATGAAATTATTAATATCTCATTAACACTAACCCAGGGAGAAATTGAAAAACTAAACAGTCCTATACTCATTTAACACTTTAAAAAATTTTCTTCAATGTTTATTTTTGAGAGAGAGAGTGACAGAGTGCAAGCAGGAGAGAGGCAGAGAGAGAGGGAGACACAGAATCCGAAGCAGGCTCCAGGCTCTGAGCTGTCAGCACAGAGCCCGACATGGGGCTCGAACTCACAAGCCGTGAGATCATGACCTGAGCTGAAGCTGGACGCTCAACTGACCGAGCCACCCAGGCGCCCCATTAAATACTTTAATTAAGTAGCAAAAAGTTTTATCACAACTTTTTGGTCAGGGTTAAATTCTTTACAAGGTCAATTTCCAACATATATGTGATATACCTTTTTTTTTTAACCATGTACTGATATATAAAGCAAGTCTCAATAAATTCCCAAAGATTTCATAGACTATCTTCTCTGACCACAAAACAATTAAGTTAGAAATCAATGTCATAAAGATAATTTTAAAAATCCAAGTGTTACAGACTTAGGAAATACTAAATATCACACAGGTCAAAGAAGAAATATTAATAGAAATGAGAAAATATTTACCTCGGAATTAAAATGACAGACCTTTACATAAAATTATGTGGAATGCAACTACTACAGAACATACAGGGAGATTTTAAGCTTTAGAAACTGAAATTGATCTACAGACGCAATTAAATTGCAATCAAATGCCAAAATGATTTCTTTATAAACTTGACAAACTTATCCTAAAATATACATGGAATTTTATATTGCCAAGAATACCCAAGACTTAAGAAGCTGAAAGCCTTGCCTGACCTGAAATCAAGAGTTATTGTAAGGCTATATTAATAAGACAACAAAGTATTAGCCTAGAGATAGACAAATTGACCACTGGACTAAAATAGAGGTCCCAGAAAGTCACAAATGGGGAGACGAGGCTTGAGACAAATATGAGTGACCTAGAATTCGTATCCAGACCATATAAAGAACTCTTACAAATCAATAATGAAAAAACAAATCTCCCAATTTTATTTTATTTTTTAATGTTTTATTTATTTTTGAGACAGGGAGAGACAGAGCATGAACAGGGGAGGGTCAGAGAGAGGGAGACACAGAATCCGAAACAGGGTCCAGGCTCTGAGCTGTCAGCACAGAGCCCGATGCGGGGCTCAAACTCACGGACCGCGAGATCATGACCTGAGCCGAAGTCGGCCGCCTAACCGACTGAGCCACCCAGGCACCCCCAAATCTCCCAATTTTAAAAAGAGAGAGGAGAGAGAAATCCTAAAGACACACTTCATAGAAGAGGACATATAAGGGACAATTAATTACATGAAACAGCAATTAATTTTATTAGTAACCAGGGAAAAACTAATTCAAACTACAAAGAGATGGGTACTATTATATACTGACCACCTGGCACAAATCAAAAATGTGGACAATATCATGCACTGGTTGGTGCAAAGGCGTGGGGAGGGGAAATGTAATACATTTTTACAATTACTTTAGAAAGAAATTTATCAGTAATTGAAGAAGTAAAATGAGCATACCCCGTGGGCCAGAAATTGATTGCTTTAAGTGTACGTCCTAGAGAAATCAGGCACATACATCTTAGGACGCATTTACAAAAATGCTCATGTTTGTACCGAGCGTGGTTTCTAACATGATAAAACTGGAACCCTCCCACACACGTAGAGATCAGCAGCAGGGTGGAAAAATAACATTGAGGCATATCCGTGCTGCGAAGTAGGGCTCAGCAGAATAAAGGGATGCAATGCAGTTGCACGGAACAGTGTGTGTGAATCTCTGGAACATCATGCTCCTCCCCCACCCCCCAAAAAGCGGAAAAGGATGTGTCCACTTCGTTCAAAGCATAACGTTAAAAAAGGTACAGAAAATGTTACGGTTGTACTTTCAGGACTATAAACGTATGCGATGAAAGATTTAAAAAAGAAAAATCAAGGAGATGGGCAAAACGGGTTGAAGGGGAGAGGGAGGTACAGGCTTCCAGTTATGGAATGAATAACTCAAGGGGGGATGAAAGAGTGCGGCAGAGGGAATACAGTCGATGATACTGTAATAGTGATGTATGGTGACAGATGGTGGCTACACTTGTGGTCAGCTGAACATCATGTATAGACTTGTGAATCGCTATGCTGTACACCTGAAACTAATGTAGCGTGTGTGTCAACTATATTTCAGTTAAAAAGAGGGGCGCCTGGGTGGCTCAGTCGGTTAAGCGTCCCACTTCGGCTCAGGTCATGATCTCGCAGTCCTTAAGTTGTAAGCACACAGAAGCACTACCATCCAGATAATGGAATTCCAAGAAAGTAGGGGAAAAAAGAGGGGAGGAGATATTTGAAGAAATAAGAATAAAAGATGAGGGGCGCCTGGGTGGGGTCCTGTGCGGACAGCTCGGAGCCCGGAGCCTGCTTCGGATTCTGTGTCTCCCTCTCTCTCTGCCCCTGCACTGCTCGTGCTCTGTCTCTCTCTCTTTCTACGATAAATAAACATTAAAATTTTAAAAAACTAAAGAAAAATGAAGAAGTTGCCTTCGAAGAGGGAGGCGATGGAGTTGAGATCACGACGTTTGTCACAGAGGGTCTCATAGGTATCAATCACCCTTGTTCTGAAGCTGGTTGAAGGGGGTACATGGGTATTCCTTGTATTACTGTTCGACCTTATACATATTTTATAAACATTCTTCTACATCCGCTCAATATTTAATAAGAGCGATTTTGCAACACAGAGGGCATGAGCAGGGGTGTGCATTTCTGTTGTTTACCTGAGAAAATGGCTACAGTCAACCTTGTAGGTAGAGTGTGGAGTATGATTTGGGTAAATTACAGCAAGTTCTTCTCAGTGGGCTGTGCCAAGATTTGAAACTTAAGAATAATATCTTTACTCAAGCATTACTTTCTCTGTGTTTACTTTAGAAAATGCAAAAGGCCACAGGGTAGGTAAATTCTGGACTCTTATTCACAAAGTCAAAACGACTCAAAGAAATCAGCATGCATTCAACCCTAATTTTTATTTCTTGAATCATAGGTCAGTGGCCAGTAACTAGAAACTGGTATGTTACTAAGGTTCTACAGCCTTGGAAAAGAAAGTGCTGAAGGTCTAAAAATGGAACAGCATGGTTTGTTTTTGCTTTTTTTTTTTTTTTTTTTGGTTGAAGATGTATGAACTATTGCAATGGTTCTCCTCCTCAAACAGCTACTTTTGTCTCATTTCAGTAGTTTATTCTTATTGTTCCTGGATTTCTCATTTTTCTTGTAATCTAACACAATATGCCCCTGACAAAAAAATGTTGAGAGAGGAACCAATTTGCCTGAATGTTGACAGTATTAAGCTCAGGAAGAAACATAGGAATGTATGGATTTGGATTTGAATAATTAGTATTTACAAACCCCCTTCTCTATTTTTGTGCTATGTCTTGATATGAAATTCAATTCTTTGCTGCCAAAACTGGCTGTAGAGAGGGAAAACAAATGTTATGTTAAATTCATTCCAAATATTGAGACAGAATAGTACTCCTTCTGCCAAACTGAGGCATAATCTGAAGGTTTGGGTTCTTAAACATTAACACATTCTTAAAGTACATATTGAAATATAACATATACTCTATTCAGATTCTGAATCAATATTGACGATTTCAAGTATTTATCAGGTTTATGAATACTCAGGAAAGTGAAGAAGAGTTAACGTAAATAAAAACAAAGCTTAGTTGTTATTCTTTTACACGCCAGTTCCACAAGGGATGGAGAAGGGGGAGGGGGGGCTGTTTACTGGTAGCAGATAGGGGGAAATGCTCCATGGAAGAAGAATCCGCTGGAAATTGAGACTCTACAAATTCAATTCTAGATTTAGTTGGGTTGTGCAGCTACAGCGACAGGCCCTTGTCAGAAACAGTCAATGAGTGGCTCTATAGTCACCCACTTTTGCCCGACAGGAAAAGGGAGGAGAGGAAAACAATTAGTTTTTAAAACTCAAGGCAGAATTCAAGACCCCTGAATGAGCCTCAGGGAAATGATAACTAGACTTACCCGTGACTCCAGTGCTGATAGCCCTCCGCGGAGGCTCAATCCCAGGCTATAGGTGGCTCCAGCTCTGGGGCCTTGCCATTTCCATGTGGCGACTCTGCCCCATGCTGGCTCTGAACCTGACGGCACATGGCTCTGTGCCACTGCGATGAGCCTGCATGCGTCGTGTCCCATCCACACCACTGGTAAGGACTGGAAGCAAAATAAAAGACACTTGTCACACTTAAAGGAAAAGACTGACTGGGAATTTTGTTCTCCTAATAGCTGTGCTTCCTAAGACTTCCTTAGAAGGTAAAAACTAAGAAAATGCAAATGACACTGTTGGGAAAAGACACAGCTGTCGCTCTTCCTGACGTTGGTGTGGCCTTGGTCCTGTAGAGCCCCATTAAACATTTGCAGTCATCCTGGGCAGTGGCTGTTATCACCCCCATTTTACAGATGGGGAAACACAGCAGGTTGAGGGACTTGTTCAAGTGTACCCAGCTAGCTCTTAGCTGAGCTGTAACCAGGTGTCGCAAACACTGCTGGGTCATCACCGGATGGGGGCCTGTTAGACTTGGATTATTAACTAACAGTGAAACGGTACTGTTTCCTCACAGTAAGATGCTGCTCTTAAGCGGGGACACCTCGTGTAATATAATTAATTGCCCAGTACTTACTGTATATTTACTGGGTTTTGTCAAGCCTTGGGCTCAGTGGATTACATACACTATCTCAACCGATCCTTAAAAGAATCCAACAAGGTAGGTGAGCTGTCAATATCATGCAGACGACGAGAAAACAATCGGAGGGTATAAGGCAGCCATTTACTTTGGGACGGAAGTGGGAGTGGTGACAACCTATGTCATGAACCTGCATTTGCTCTGTTAGCACATGTTGTTACTTAAGACTGTTGATCACAGATGAATGAAAATATCAAAGTTCCCCAAAGATGCTTCTGTTCATTCATATTTTACAAAAGACCCAGGGAACATACATTTTGCAGTTCCAATATTATTTGCTTTGTGGTGTCACTTTCTGGGATTGCGGGAGAAAAGCTTTCCCTCACTCTTTGGCACTGCTATTGGCTTCAGAACTGGGCTTCAAGGACCAGGCAGTCTGCATCGCTATGCCTTCTGTCCCCTGGCCTGCAAATATCTAGTCTTTCAAATACTATAGCTTAGGGGCACCTGGGTGGCTCAGTGGGTTGAGCAATCCGACTCTTGATTTCGGCTCAGGTCATGATCTCAGGGTCATGGGATCGAGCCCCACATGGGCCTGATTGAGACTCTCTCTCTCTCTCCCTCTCTCTCTTTCTCTCTCCCTCCCTTTGCCTCTCTCCCCAGCTGGCATGCTCTCTCTCCAAACTAAAAAAAAAAAAAAAATAAAGACGACAACAACAACAACAACAAATCCCAAATACTGTAAGCTTAAAGGACCTGCGATGCACAGAGGAAGTCGAGGAAAACGAGAACTGATTTTCCACAGCATTGTCTTATGTTTTAGTTATCTATAGCTGCAAAATAAGTCACCTATACTTAGCTGCATTAAAAACCAACAGCATTTAGGGGTGCCTGGGTGGCTCAGTCGGTTAAGCGTCTGAGTTCGGCTCAGGTCATGATCTCACCGTTCATGAGTTTGAGCCCCGCATCAGGCTCTGTGCTGACAGCTCAGAGCCTGGAGCCTGCTTCGGATTCTGTGTCTCCCTCTCTCTCTGCCCCTCTCCTGCTCATGCTCTGTCTCTCTGTCTCTAAAAAATAAATAAACACTGAAAAAAAATTTTTTTAACCAGTGTTTATTATTATTATCATTCTTATCTTTCCCAGCCCTGGGGACTGACTGGGCTCAACTAGGTGGCTCTCACTTGGGGTATTTCTTGTGGTTACAATCAGATGGCGGCTGGAGCTGGTGTTATCTGGAAGGCTTCCTTACTCAGCTTTCTGCTTGTTGATTCTTACTGTCAGCCAAGACCTTCAGTTGGGGCTGTTGGCCACATGTGTACATGGCGCAACTCTGTGTGGCCTGAGCTTTCTCAAAGCGAGGCGCTTGGGTTCCAAGAGCAAAGCTCTCAAGAGAAGCAGACAGGCAAGTGAAAGACTTTTATGATTTAGTCTGGGAAGTCCCATACAGCGACACTTTTGTCACATTCTACCCCTTAGCAGCAAGTCACTTCTTAATGGAAAGAGTATCAAAAAAATTGGCAAGTAAGATTCCAAACCGCTATTCTGCTCTCACCCATGAAGACAGGAAATCGTGTGGTGATCTGACCAACAGGGTTCTAAGGGATTAAAGAAAATATATACCAACAAAGCAAACATAAGTCTGTTGTGCAATGACTGTTTCATTCAACTATGCAAAGGTAGTTCACTGGATAATCAAGATGGTTCTCCTACCCTTTGTGTGAGAACAACTGTTTCTCCTCTGTCCATAACCCCAGCTACCAAAACCATCAGCTGGCCAATGTTGCCATCTTTCCTGGGGGGCAGCCTTTATTCAATCCCCGCCTTTCTCCCATTGCCATAAAAGTCCCTTGCTGGTAGACATGTCACATGCAGCTGTGGCCTCTGGCTATCCACTGGAGATGGCGCAAGGCACGCTCTCCTACCTTCTCCCTGAGATCTTAGAACTCAACAGGACACAAGGTTTGCATGATTCAAAGTTTAGCCCTTTGATGCATACGCTCATCTAATGGGGCTCAGGGTATCTGATGTGCAGGATATTGTGTTTCCTCTGTGCCTTAACTGCCTCTTGATGCTATTCATAATTGTTACACTTTATTTTATTTTATTTATTTGTTTTAGACATGGACAGACAGAGAGTGAGAGCTGGAGAGTGGGGTGGAGGGAGAGAGTGAGAGAGAGAGAGAGAGAGAGAGAGAGAGAGAGAGAGAAAATCCTAAGCAGGCTCTATGCTCCACGTGGGGCTTAACAGGAAGCTCGATCCCACCACCCTGGGATCATGACCTGAGCCAAAATCAAGAGTCAGATGCTTACCCGACTGAGCCCTCCAGGTGCCCCTACACACTTATTTTTTTTTTTTTAATTAATGTTTTATTTTTATTTTTGAGAGAGAGAGAGGGAGAACACGAGACAGAGAGACAGAGAGACAGAGAGAGAGACAGAGGATCTGAAGCAGGCTCTGCATAGACAATACAGAGACCAATGCAGGGTTCAAACTCAGAACCATGAGATCACGACCTGAGCTGAAGACAGCCGCTTCACCGACTGAGCCACCCAGGCGCCCCTACACATTTATTTTTAAATGTTGAGCAATGTACTATAAAAGCACATCGTAAAAATATTCAACAAAATTACCATAAAAATGTCAGTATAGGTCCTCACTTTTCCTGGGGTTTCATGAGCTCCAGAGCAGCCAAATTCTCAAATGTTATAGTGGAAGCTACAATTGTTCAGCGTTAGGGTGACTTTCGTGTCATGTGAACCTTACACTACATTGTTCCCAAGGACAGCAACTAGAACAAACCACTGTGACAGAGCCACTGGCCCAAGTTCATGGCCTCCTACACACATTAAAACACATTTTACAGCCCCTTGAGACGTTAGGTAGAGTCCACAGGACTGAGTTCTGAGACCAATGGAACATGTACAGAATGGAGCAGGCTACTTCTGGGCTTGGCCATGAAATTCCCTGTCTATCCCACTCTCCTTCCCTTCGCAGGAAGTCTTGGAGGCCAAATACTGAATATGATGGAAACACAAGGAAGCATTAAAAGATGGAGGAAACCTACATTCATGAATTGTCATGTCAAGAAAACTTGTCCCCTTACTGACTGTATTAGACTATGACACAGAGAGATACGATTTAATTAAGCCTTTGAGATTTTAAAGATTATCTGTGATCGCATCACATTTACTGACTACCATCTCTCCTAGTTATTTTGGTATAATAGAAGTCCAGTAGAATCTGGTGCATGTGGAGTTGAGGTACAGGTATTCTCCCAAAACCCAGGAATAGCCAGCTGGATGAAGTAAAGAGGAGAGAAATAAACACTAACACTTCTAGTGATGATCTTTAAGTAAGAAATATAAAACTGTTTAGGAAAGTGTATTACCATTCTGAAGGTGAAGAAAAGCAAGAGAGGGGCGCCTGGGTGACTGAGTCGGTTAAGCATCCGACTTCGGCTCAGGTCATGATCTTGTGGTTCGGGAGTTCGAGCCCTGAGTCAGACTCTGTGCTGATGCCTCGGAGCCTGGAGCCTGCTCCAGATTCTGTGTCTCCCTACCCCTCCGCCCCCTTCTCTCTCTTGCACTCAAAAATAAACATTTAAAAAAATTTTTAAAAAAGAAAAAAAAAGCAAGAGAGAGAAAAGAAAGGCTGTAAGTGTCCTGTTAAGACCCAGAGCAGAGTTTCTATAACTACTCCCCTGCTGGTTTGCTGGGAATAGAGGAGGAAGATGCTCTGTGGATCTGTTGCCAGACCACCACATGTCCAAAGTGGAAGGAGAAAGAGACAGTCCCCTGCAGCCTCCACCTCAGGAAATGTCCTTGACTTCCTTGTCGGTATAGTGAAATGCATGTATATTTCAAAGGTGAAAAATGGAGGAGACAACTGAGCTCCACGCGAGATCAAAAATTGAAGAAAACTCAGTTTCCTTTGTCCCTTCCCAAATTATACCATGTCAGGGGGCCCCTACTCTGTCATTTTATCATCCTGTGGAAGAGAATACCAAGAGATACCAATAAACCAAACACAGACCAAGTAGTTCTGTCCATTTGAGTTGTGAACTCCAATCAAATTCTTCATAAAGATTCTGCTCTTCTGAGAACACGCATTTCTTATGTGTTGAACATTTACAGCATTATAATATACATCTTTATAACATACATTATAAAGAGAAATAGAGATAGAGATAGAAAGGAAGAAAGAAAAAGAAGAAAGAAAGAAAGAAAGAAAGAAAGAAAGAAAGAAAGAAAGAAAAAA